TGCGCCAGGCCCTCGCGGCGAGCTCCGGCGAGGCGCTCCGGTCGCGCGCGCGCGAGGACGACGACGACGCGGAACTGCGGCGGGCCCTCGCCGAGAGCGCGCGCGCCGCGCCGCCGCCGCCGCCGCGCCGCGACGACGACGACGACGACCTCCGGCGCGCGCTCGCGGCGAGCGCGCGGGAGACGGCGCCGCCGCCGCGCCCCCCCGACGACGTCGACGCGGAGATCGCGCGGGCCATCGCCGCGTCCATCGACGAGAAGGAGCAGGCCTACGTGCGGCGGCAGAAGGCGGCGCTCGAGGCCGCGACGCGCCGCGGCGCCGCGGCGCCGCGTCAAGAAGCTCGTCACGCAGTGCCTCTACCGGCTCACGGAGGGCCACGGGGGCCGGCGTCCCTCGCGGGCTTCCTCGGCCGCGTGGGCATGGGCCGGCACCTCGCGCTCCTCCGCGGCGAGGAGATCGAGACGCTCGAGGACCTCTCCTTCCTCACGGTCCAGGACCTCGTCGACGTCGGGCTGCCCCAGCGCGACGCGGCGTCCCTCGTCCACCTCGCGAGCGTCTAACGGACCCCTGTTGTGACCTTCCCCGGACCCCCGCTGTGGCCTTTACGACGCCCAGCGCGCGTGGTGCGCCGCGTCCTGGATGTCCCAGTCCTTCGAAACGAACTCGTCCGCCGGGCAGTCGAAGAGGAGCCACGCGAAGAACGCGGCGACGTTTTCGGGCGCGTCGAGGCCCGCGGCGGGCGGCGGCCGGCCCGCGCCGCCCGCCGGCGCTTTCTCCGCGCGCAGGCCCTCGAAGTAGGGCCGCATCGCGTGCGCGGCCGGCAATTCGGCGACGAGCGCCCGCTGCATGGGCGTGTCCGCGACGCCGGGCATGGCGCTGCCCACGAGCACGGCCGGGCCGAGCTCGCCGCGCAGGGACTCGTAGACGGACTTGAGCGCCGCCTTGGACGCGCAGTAGGCCGCGAGGCCCTCGGCGCCGCCGTGCGCGGCGCCCGACGACACGTGCAGCACGCGCGACCCGGCGCCGAGGCCCGGCAGGAGCGCCTGCGTGAGGAACAGCGGGCCCTCGACGTTCGTCGCCATGGCCGCGCGCCAGCCGCCGAGCGTGAGCGCGCCGAGCGGCGCCGTCTCGCCGACCGCGGCCGCGTTGTGGACGACGACGGTCTTCCGCGGGGTCGAAGCGCGCGCGGCCGCCGCGACGGCGGCGCGGCCGTCCTCCGTGCCGACGTCCGCGGCGACGGCCGTGAAGCCGTCGCCGCACACGGTGCGCGTCTCCGCGAGCGCCGCCGCGCGCCGGCCGACGCCGACGACGCGCACGCCGCGCCGGCAGATCTCTACCGCCGTGGCGCGGCCAATGCCGGAGCCGGCGCCCGTGACGACGGCGACGTCGAACGCTGCGGCCGCGGACATCTGAAGCAGCACTGCAGCGGCAATGCGCGAGGTCATGTAGCAGCGCTTCGAGCAGCGCAGCCTCGTGAGAGGCCCAGACTAGCAGCGCCTCGTCACCAGCGCAGCGTCGCAAAAGAGGCCCAGACTACCGCCGTCGCGCAGGAGCTTCAACGCGGCATATTGAAGTAAACGAGAAGTAAATTTTAAAAACCAGCTTATGAGTACTCGTTCGCCAGCTCCGAGACCTGGGCCATGCTCATGCGGTTCGCGTGGTGGTAGTGCGCGCGGATGTTCGTGTTCGCGCGCGCGCGGCCCTTGTCCTCGCGTAGGTGCGTCACCGCCTGGGGCCCGTACTCGATGCCCGACTTGTCCGTCTTGAGCTCCGCCGTCGGGTCCGACCCCGTGAAGTCGAATTCGAAGTCGCCGTCCTCCGTGTTCATCAACGCCGAGGCCGCCGCGGCTCGTTCCTGCGCGTCCTTCTCGTCGACGACCCGCTGCATCTCGTCGAGCTCCTCGTCCTCGAGGTCCGGCAGCTCCTGGACGGCCTTGGTCTTCACGCGGTCGACGTCGTCGCCGCGGATGCCCAGCGGCCTCAGGTCCTCCGGGTCCGCGTTCGCGAGCGCGTGGCGGCTCCGGAACCGCGACCGGTCGAGCGATTCCGCGATGACCGGAATCTTGTCCTCGCCGCAGTGCAGCTTCG